TAAGGAAGGTTCAGAATAGTTCCTTCAGAAACCTAAGCGCCGCAGATAAATAGCAACAGCAGGGCGAGGGTATACGCTTAGCACGACTACGAGCAGCAATAACTCGAACTGCTTCGATGTTACTGAACGAAGCATTCAAGCGCTGAAGGAAGAGCTTAACAACAGTGCTCTTTACAATTCCCCATCACCTGCATCAAACACCATAACCAGAGAAATGAACAAAGGATAGTACTCTCTTGATTATTAGTATAAATACCTAAACAACACCGAAAACGCTTCTCAGATAACGGAAAGATTAAGCTAGAACGAACATCCTAACGATTCACCGGAGTCTCTCATGAATAATAAATCCAAGAAGCTTACAGAAAGATTTCCCTTCAGTATTGAATAGAACAAGGAAACAATATAGATTAAATATCTTATCTATAGAATAGAACTAGAGAAGCTTTTTATCTGCATTTCCTTGCAAAATATTGAAGCACGAGAAGATGAAAACTCTTGAATTAGCTTACTTTATAATCTACACTCCGAACTAGCATAGATCTCCTGTACTTATTATAGCTGCAAAACGCATTTCTCGGAGAAGATGCAATACGAATAGTTCCCTATCAGAGAACCAGAACAAATCCTTCAGGCTATTGAGAAACAGAAATTCCGCTTCAGAAAGATTCTCAACAAGCAATACTACAATGCGTATATCGAGCTACCAAATAATTGCCCCATGCAATACATAGATAAAAAGATAGAGTAGTAGCAGTGCAAAATAATACTCTGCACGATTTATATTAATAACAAAGTTCGTAACTAGCATTAACAGAAGAAAGATTAGAAATAATAATGATATAAGCAAAAGCAAGCTAAGAAGCTTGCTCAAGAAGCAGCAAAGCGAGCTTAGAAGAACAAGCAGTTCTCAACAAACTCAAAAGAACAGGATTGCTTATAAAGAGACTGCAGATGATTAAACTGGAATAGTTTCTATATGAAGCTTCTAGAACAGATTATGCTTATATTAAGTTCGATATATATATTCAAGAATACAAATATAGCGTACTATTGAACAGTAATGCTTAGAGAAACTTTATATTCTTATATATTATCAATCAGATATAACTACAATGGAAATGGAAAAGATGCTTATATACTCTCAGCACTATAGAAGAACAATCTGTTGCATACAATCAAGGAATAATCAATAAGAAGACTGATCATCTACTTATCTTAATCCAAGAATATGTAATCAGAGCTTTCTTTGATATTATGAATACAGCATAATATGAGCTGATTATAGAACTTTTATAGCTCAAGAAGCACAATTCTTGAATCGATTGAACTACTGGCCAGATCTCATAAGAACAAGCTGTATTCAGAGAGATAATTGCAATCAATAATGCAGGATCGAAGCTAGTTATTAAAGAATATTCGGGAAAAGAAGCTTCAAACAACTTCATACATACTTTCAAGTTAGCAGAGCTGGCAGTTCAAAGAGAAGGACTTAGTAACAAGCGAATCCAAACAGTGCTAGAGCGCTAACAGGTTAGCAAAACAACGGAAGCAAGACTCTCAGCAAGTTAGTTCGCCCCGGAGCAGCAAGGAAAAGCTTCAGAATATGAATTGTGAAACCATACGGGAAAAACCTCGAAACTAAGCTCTCAAGCGCTCGATCCGGCCCGGAGCGAACGCTTAAGGCTCTCGAAAACGCTATTAGAAAAGAAGCACGCTTAACAGTACCTACTGTTCCTCCAGATAGCAGAAATAGCATAAGAATCAGAACTAATACTTGCGAATATACTATAAGAATATTATAAGTTTAAGAAACTATTTCAGAAAGAATTGAATACAGGATTGCTAAAATATAGCTCATACAACTATAAGATCCTGCTACAAGAAGGGAAACAATCCAAATTCTTCTTCATCTACAGATTAAACAAGATATAATTAAAGATACTTAGAGAGTATCTCGATGAGAATCTTAAGAAAGAATATATATAACTATTGCAATTACTAGCAGAATACCTCATTCTATTTATATTTAAAAAGAATAGCAAGCTTAGGCTATGCATTGATTATAAGCAATTCAATAATATTACAATCAAGAACTGATATCTGTTGCTACTTATCAAGGAACTACGAAATAAATTGCAAGAAGCATAGTAATTCATAGTTCTGAATTTGAAAGAAGCTTATAATCTAATCAGAGTAAAGGAAGAAGAAGAATGGAAAACTGCTTTCAGAATACGCTACAGATACTACAAATATTTGGTTATACTCTTTGGATTAATAAATGCCTCAGCTTTGTTTCAGGAAATGATTAATTACATTCTATACAAGCATCTGAATCAGTTCGTTATTGCTTATCTCAATGATATCCTTATTTACTCTTGAATACTTGAAGAATACAAGGAATATGTGGAAACAGTGTTGCAAACGCTCCAAGATGCAAAACTTCTTGTGAAACCTGCAAAGAGTTACTTTTATATACAAAAGATCAACTATCTCAGATTCATAATCGAGCTAGAATGCATTAAGCTACAGAAAGATAAGGTAGAAGCTGTTAGGAATTAGCTAATTCCCAAAAATATTAGAAATATTAAGTCTTTTCTCGGATATATTAACTTCTACAAGCAGTTCATTAAAAACTATAGCTAGATTATACATTCTCTTACAAATCTTACCAAAAAGAAGCAGCTCTTTAAATGAGATCCTAAGGCGCAAGAAGCTTTTGATGAGATCATCAGATATATTATCTTAGAGCTAATTCTGTATAAAGTAGATCTTTACAAACTCTTTGAAATCAAGACTGATATATCGGGATATGCACTCAGAGAACAACTTAGCTAATGAGATGATTAAGAGCATTTAAGAATTATAAGCAACTTTTCAAAGAAGTTGAATAGCTCAGAAATCAACTACAGAATCTCTGATTAGGAACTCATAGCAATAGTGAAAGCTTTCAAGAAGTAGCAATACTATTTCATTAGCATATAATATTCAATTATAATTCACTCGGATTATAAGAATCTAACTATATTTATAATAATTAAGATTTTGAACAAATAACAAGTTAGATAAGCAGAATTTCTCTTATAATTTGATTTTAAGATTGTATACTGCAAAAGCTCAGAAAATAGATAAGCAGATGCTCTTAGCAGAAGATTAGATTATTGAGATGCAAATTCCTCAGATATATAGAACATCTTTGTTCAAGATGAATTAGGAAATCTCGTTAATGTATATAGAGAGCTGAATGCTGCCTTCAGAATTGGATCTTCGGAAAAGAATTCAGAATCAATAACTTTAAACGAACAAGATAGCTATATCAGGAATATACATAGTATACCAGCATACAGATATTAAGAAGTTAGAGTAACTTATGAATGCATTAAAAAATACTGAAACTTATTAGGCTTTAGAAAAAGAATTGAGAATATTCTATAATAATGCAATAGCTGCAAGAAGAATAAAGCAGAAAGATATAAGCTTTACAAACTACTGCACTTCCTATTAGTATTTACAACTATTTAGCAATCTATTAGTCTAAACTTTATTATTAAGCTACTTCTCTTACAAAAACTTTTAATTAAGATATAATATAATAGCATTCTAGTAGTAGTTTGCAAACTGAGCAAGTATGCTTATTTTCTCTTCTATAAGGAAAGCAGTATAGCAGAAGAACTTGCATATATATTTCTCAGAACGATTATTGCTAATTACAGCATGCTAGAGAAAGTAATCTCCAATAGAGATAGAAAGTTCAATTCAAAGTTTTGAACTTTACTTATAAAACAGCTTAGAATATACTATAGAATATTCATAGTATTTCACTTATAAACAGATGAATAAATAGAAAGAATAAATCAAGTTATTAAATAATATCTTCAATACTATATCAATCAGAAACAGAACAACTGGATTAATCTATTGCTTCTTGCATAATTCGCTTATAATAGCGCAAATACAAGCATAATAAAGAAATCACTATTCTTTATACTCTATAGATATAACTCAATAGCTTACTACAAAGTACTGCTAGAAGCAGATGCAGAAGCTGCGAATAAAAGAATTAAGAAGATCAAGAAAGTTCAGAAGAAACTCTAATCAGAATTACAATTTATTTAAGAACGAATAATGCAATATGCAAACTCCAAAAGAATTGAGAAACCAATCCTACAGAAAGGAAATAAGGTTTATCTACTTCGAAAAAACATTAAAACAACTAGATCCAGCAACAAACTCAACTATAAGAAGTTAGAATCATTCAAAATCTTGCAGCAGATTTCTCCGATCAACTACAAGTTAGCATTATCTCATGGGATGAGAATACACCCGGTTTTCCACGTCTTACTGCTGGAACCAGCAGCACAGAAAATACTAGCGAACAAAACAGCAGAAGTAGAAAATAACGAACCAGAGTATGAGATGGAAAAAATCCTCAAGCATAGAGGCACGGACAGCACGAAGGAATACCTCATCAAATAGAAGAGTTACCCAGCAAGCGAAAATTCATGGGAACCACAGAAAAACATCAAGAACGCTTAAGAAAGAGTAGCTGAGTATTGGAAAAGGAAGGAAACCAGTATCTAAGACGATCGCTCCGCCCCGGACCGAGACCCAGAAGCCTCGGGAACCTCGCCCTCCAGAAAACCCGACCAATCCACCACCGCATTCCCCACATCTACGGAATTCCAGTCAAAACCTCCAGAAGAGAAACCCCCAGGAACAACCACGGGCTCCGCGGAAACCACAGCCTGCACCTCGGCCGCCACGCGCTCGCGCTCCTCCTCCTCCAGGCCCTCATTCACCAATTTTATCCCCTTCTCCTGAAGGAAGCGTCGCTGCTTCTTCAAACGAGACAAACGACCTAAGGACTCGGACAAACGAGCCTGAGCATCCGCCAGCTCCCGCTGACGCTCCAACAAACGCTCCTCCTCCTCCACCTCCCTACCATCCAAACGAACCAACTCATCGGTAATACGAGATACTAAGGCAGTACCATCAGCAAGAACTAAGAAAGAGGAAAGGGAAGGCTCACGAGAAGACATGGGGATTCGACCAGCATCACAGGAACGACCTCGTTTCGTACACTGAGAACGGCTCTTGACCCCATCCACCATCTTGCACGCCACCCCTTCCTCCAGACACGAAGAACACGGCATTACTTCGTACCCCTTGGACTCGATGTAACTGAAGCGTTCAAGACGAGCAAGGCTCTTCTTGGAAAGAGACGAAGAAGGAGATTTGCCGATACGGGAATTCAGGACTCTGGTCGACATCCCGATTAGGAAGGCATAATCCAACGCACAAAGATCTTGCCAGGAAACTTACAGAAGATCGTTGAGGACAACGACTGATAGGAGGGAGATGATGTTATGACCCATCCGACATGCAGGTCACAGGACAGGCTCCGCCAACAGGGAATCGACAGGCGCTAGCTTATCTACCAGTAGAATTGCCTAAATTCCTTATCTCGAAAAGTAACATGTGGCCTGTTTGACATGTCTCTAGTATCTTCAACCAATCATGGGTTTTCTGGTAAAAATTAGCGCTAGATTAGCATTGAGTATGGCGTGATCCTAGGCTAAAGCATGATAGCACGAACGGATTAGCGCCAGCAAAAAGGAGCATAGTTGCATCGCACTCTTTATTTCCGATCGCGCAATTGCTCTCCTGACTTTGATTAGCTGCACCCCCGCATTGTTCTTCAATCTCTTCTCCCTGCCTGCCTTCATGTGTCCTTTAGAATTTCCACCATTACCATCCCCATCCATCGTTATTTGCCTAGCAAGCTAAATCATCATCACTCTGCCATACGTACTGCATTGCACGATTCGCAGTACGCATCCAAAGCCAGCCGCCAACCCATCGCCAAGCTACAGGACAAGCAGACCTTCTCGAGAGCAAGAGCAGTGATAGCACCAATACTGGTTGTCTTCTCATCTCTCGTCTCAAGCGGGCTTATAGCTCATGGGGGGTACAAAAAAGTTCGGGGGGGGGTACAAAAAGCTCGGGGGGGATACAGAAACTCGGGAAGGGTACAAAAAGTTCATAGGAGATACAGCACCTAATATAGAAAAGATCTGCATTGTTTATTGTCAGGGTAAAAAGGGCACACAAGTGAGGTGAAGGGGTGTGAGCTGCTCCCAAGCCGCTCTGTTGATGCTTCCATTCAAAGGGACTACTGAACCTATCTCCCTCCTCCTCTTTTTCGCTGCTGGACCTGTTGTTCCCCTTTCCCTTATGTACACAATTGGCCTGGACTAGATGGGATGATAATGGCCTGATGGCTACGCAGCATCGTACGAGAGCGCTGCTTCGGAGCGAAGCTCTTGCAGCAGCCCTGGACCGCCACCAGGGGTTGCAAGAGCTACCTATTTCCTTTGTGCGCATACAAGCTCTAACAGAATCCTCCCTCTTCCAGGTTCCTGTTCCCAGGAACTATGCATCCGAGCTGCTTTTGTGCGGATCCACAGGTCCCTTCATACTTGTCAATAGTTCTCTCATTAGTTAGTTCTTGTTGTTGGAGTGCCTCGCCCTAGAGAGCCAAGTTTCCCTCCGCTGGTAAATCATGTAATGTTGTGAAGGTTGCCCCAGCGCTGGCGCAGCGCAGACGCGGCGTGGTTACAAAGACTGTGCAGCTTGGCGCGGTTGTCCATGCTACCGCGATCTCGGAATAGCTTCTAGAGCTAGACAACAGGGTTGCCTGGGATGTATGCGCTAGTGGAGCACTGTTGTCCCTTATTTCGCTCTTGCGCCTGAACCCCTCTCTCTTTCTGTTTTCCCTTCTCTCAGCCATCACAGCAGCAGCAGCAGCAATAATAACAACAATAGCAGTAACAGCACAGTACGTATATCCCTATCCTCTGAAGCATTGCATGGAAGCTGATTCATCGCAGATGTTTTCTTTTACTGCTATCAACGCATCTGGGGAGGCTGCGCCAGCCCCTAAGGTTTCTGAGGGTCAGACCGCCCCTGAGGCCTCGGAGGCTGGCAATGCCTCCTCCGGCGCTGTTAACGCGATGCCCCCTCCCCGCCACTCTCTGCCCTCTGGCGCCCCCGCTGCTCCCTCGTCCCCTCCTTCTCGTGGCCGCCGCAGCGGTCGGCGTGGTGGCTGCAAGGCCCCCGCTAGCAAGAAGCGCAAGAGGGCCTCTCCCTCGCCCTCGCCCTCGCCCTCTCTCTCGCCCCCGCCCGAGTTCCTCGCGACTCCCTCCCCAGGAGTTCCTCCTCCCGTCACTCCCACGGCCTCCGTGAGTACCCAGATATACCGTGTATACAGCGTCGTACTGATATTGTCAGGCTGTCAAGAGAAAGAAGGTCCCTGCGGGGCCGGGTGCAGTGCGCCCCCCGGCAGGCTGGTGTCAGGAGTACATGCGCCGCTGCATCCAGGAGCCGGGTATCCGGTGCTAGGATCAGGCGGGTAAGCAAGCTCCCTCATCACTGTCCTACTGTTCCTCATGCTAACTCATCATAGATTCTGATGCTCGTTGTTTTCAGTGCGCCAGCAATAACCATTCTTGCTACTCCGTAAGTAGTATTACCCCTGCTTCCTCTTATCTTCCGCGCTGCTTACAAGCTGCTATAGCTTCCATACGAAGCAGGCTTAGCCCTGAATAGTGCGTGCGCCTTTGGTCAGAAGCCGACCGACGAGAACTTGCAAGATATTCTCCAGCTGGTGCGCTCTGTAAGCACTGCTTCTGCGCTAGTAGTTAGTGCATCTCCTGCCCCCGTTTTGAGCGAGAAGTTGATGTTACTGCTCCAGCGCAGTATCAGCGCTCTGGAGGTACTGGCTGAGGCGGCTCGCAAGCTCTCTGAAGCAGCTCCTGAAGAGGAAGGATAACCTCTTTAAAAACCCTGGATGGATGAGCGCGCTTTTATAGCATGGGAAATAACTGGCACTGATTGCTACAACGCAGGGGCGTTGCTAACTTCCCGGGTAGGTAGGCTATATAAGGGTTTTTAGTTTTCCAATCAAAAACTAAGCAGCTTTCATACTGCATTGTTACCGCTTTAATCATGCTTTATATTCTTTGATCAATAGTTCATTATCAATAAATGCCTATGATTCCCATGAATCCTTATCGCTGCTATATCCCTTTCAATATATAAGGAATTAGCGGTTCCTAGGTAGCTCTCGGTATGCTAGAATAGCCTCCACTTCTTAATGCGCCTCTTCCTCGAGATCGATGTCAGGATGCGCTTCGAGCTCTTCTCCATCTCGTTTATTGAAGTTCTTCAGAGTTATGATTGGAAAGATATTGTGAACCTTGTATTTCGCTGGCAATTCGAGCTTATACGCTAGTTCATGCGCTCCTACAATCTCCAGTACTCGAAAAGAGCTAAGGTATTTGTTTGCTAGTTTATTGTTAACATCTTTTTAGCATAAATGCTTAGCTGAGATGAGAACGAGGTTGCTAAGAAAGAATCTTTTATCAGTATAGCGTTTATTATACTATCTAATGTATGCTTATCTTGTATGATTGAAGCTTTTCTGAGCCTTCTTACGAGCTTTAGCAAGATTTTCGAGCTGCTCTGAAATCTTGGGAATATAGCTTGAGCGCTGCATATTAATATCTGTTAGTTTTGTTGGTTGGAATCTGTAGAGCAATATAGCAGGTAATGATTCTGTTCCGCTATAGTCTGCGCTATTATATACTGCCTATATAAGGAGTAGGCGCTGCGTCTAATCTGCTTGAGAAAAGCTGCAATAAGCGCGGAAGTATTGTTCGAGGTTCTAGTTCTGCTGCTCGATTTGTTTATCTGTTTGGGAGTGAAATGCAGTGCTCAGGCGCTGCTTGGTCTCTAGGTGAAAGCAGAAGTTAGTTCAGAAGTAGCTTATAAAGAAGCTTTCTCTATCTGATACAATGCTCTCAGGAATGCTGTAGAACTGATATATATACTACAGCATAATATCTGCTAGGCTGCTGCTTATAAGCTATATTGTTATTGGAATGTATAGGGCGTACTTCGAGTATTTATTAATGATCACCAGAATAGCATTATAAGCTTTATTATAAAAACCGATGAATCCAAGCAGACTAGTAATAAAGTTTATTGATATCTCAGTTTATAAGCGAGTTGCTAGTAGTAAGAAATTGAGTAGGCTGTATAAGCATTGTTTCCTCGTTTTTATCCGCTAGCATACTGTATACATATTAATATGCTTCTTCATATTCTTAGCTAATGCATTCCAATAGTAGTAATAAGAAATCATCTTAGTAGACTTAGCTATGCTGAGATAGCTAGCTATTGAATCATCATAATATGCTTCCAAAAGCTCCTTGTGAGTTGATAGATAGTTTAGCACAAATATATATTCCCTGAAGCATAGCAAGCTCTTGATAACTTGCTATAGCTCCATACTGGCTGTAGAGCTGCATATTCGCCTCTTGCGCTAAGCTTTCGTTTGAATAAAAACATTTTCTTGTTGCAGTTGTAGCAGATGCGCTCTTATTAGCTCTGCAAGCTGCTCTAGCGCTGTTACTACGCTTCGCTTCATTGCTAAGCGCAGAAGAATGATTGGTTTGCAATTCGATATCCAAGCAACATTAGTTGCTAAGCGGATACTCCGCTTCAACTCTGCGCTCTCGCTCGAATAGCGAAGAGTGCACTTTCGAAAACAGGAGATATTCAGGTTTGCTGTCTGCTTAAACTTTGCGCTCTCGCTCGAATAGCGAAGAGTATATACTTGAAAACAGAAGATACTCAGGTTTGCTGCTTGCTCTACTCTTATTCTTCGAATATGATCAATACAAGGTTTTCTCTAATTCTTCAGATTCTTTATTGTAATGAAATCGCTAAAGCTTTGCAGCTCCTGCTCAGCTTTCTTTCTTTCCTGATGATCTAGCTGCCTAAACAACCTATCAGCTGGATTGGACTTGCTGGGGCGGTATTGAATAATGAGATTATATATGCTGAGATTGTTCAGCTAGCGCAACTGGCGAGCAGATAGCTTCTGTTTAGTCTCTCAGTACTGCAAGTTGAGATAATTTGTAAGAATGAGTACAGGCTCAGGCAGATATAACAAATAATGCTGCTAGTTTGATATAGTGTTTACAATAGCTAACAGCTTGATATTCCCCACGCTATACCGTATTTCTATTAGAGAGAGCTTCTTTAAATGAAAGACAATTGAATGCTAGCAGCTTTGAAACAGCTGAGCTAGCACAGCTTCTATAGCGAAAGCAGAAGCATTCGTTTCAACCCTTGTTAGTAATGCAGCATTGTAGTAGCGTAGCAATGAAGCTGTTGTAAAGAGCATGATCAGAATCTTGAAAGCTACTCAGGCGCAGTTCGAAAGTGCAACCATGCCTATACTGCTACCTTGCAAAAAATTAGTTAATAATATAACGATCTTGGAGTAGTTCCGTATAAATCGACGGTAGAACTCAGTAAATCCAAGAAATATCTGAATATCGCAGATAGTGCATGGAAGCAGCTATTATATAATAGCTGCAATATGCTTTTTATTTATACTGATTTCTTCTGAAGATACTATAAAGCCTAGGAATTCCGCTTATTGTATATTGAACTCATACTTTCTCAGATTGAGATATAGCTCTCATTGCTATAGCTGCTTCAAGATTTCTCGAATGTAGCTTGTATGCTGCTTAGCATTATTACTGTAGATTAGGATATTATTCAGATAGATAATGCAGATCACATTTACTAAGCCTGCCAGCGTCTTATTAATATATGCCTGGAATGTAGCTGGAGCATTGGTAAAGCTAAAGAGCAGAATATAGTACTCGAAATAGCTATATTTCATACAGAAAGCGATCTTCTACTCATCTCCTTTACGGATTCGGAGCTAATAGTATGCATTCTTAAGATTGAGCTTGGTATAGATTTGTATATAGCTTAGTTGATTGAAAATCTCAGTAATTAAAGGCAATGGGATACAGTTCTTGCGTATAATCCGATTCAGCGCTCTATAGTTCATGCAGAAGTGCAGCTTGCCTTCTTTCTTTAGCACAAACAGTATAGGTGCGCTAGCAGAGCTAGTCGAGGATTGAATCCATCCTCTGGTTAGCATCTCCTCCAAGTATTTTCTAAGCACTTCTAGTTCAGCTGCAGAAAGAGCGTACAAGAGCCTCCAGAGCGGTCTTGCTCTCTCTTCAAGCTTGATGCAATAATCGATATCAGTATGAAATGCAAGCAACTTTGATGCTTTTTCCATGCATAGATTAACGAAGTTGCAGTATTCAGAGAGCAAGTGCAGCTCTAGCGCTGCATCTTCTGACTTAGCTTCGAGGAGTAGGTTTGGTGAGCTTGGATAGTAATATGCTGCAAAGGCAACTCTTGCTCCCTCAAGCTTTTTCATTATAGTGCAGAGCCGAATCTGGAAGCGCTAGAAGGGAAATCTTTATTGCCTCATATCTCATCGTATTACTGGGTTAACAATCTCAAGCTATAGGAATCCCAGAATCAGGCTGAGCTAGCTAATATCTGCTACTACAAAGCAATAGCGCTGCTTCCTGGATATTCCTAGGCTATCTGTGATCTTCATATCAATAGAGCAGCTACTGTATATAATAATAGCTCCCTGGTTAATTAAGACGAGCCTGAAACATGCTTCAAAAGATTGGTTCTATGCTAGAGCTTCAGCTAAGTAGCGATTGATCAGATTCTCCTCTGCTCTTGAATCAACCAATCTATACATTGTTGTGGTGGCCAGGGTGGTAGTCCGTGGGATGTGGAGTACAGTGGGTCAAGGGTCCTCATACATATAAAGGATACCACCCACTTTTCAAATTCTTTAGCTATAAGCAACAATGAAGCATCCTTTCTCTTCTTTTCAATTTTGAACCCTTTGGACAGGTTTAAAACAGGTTTTTCACCCTATTCTTGTGCCCGTGTGGCCTTAGTTTGCTATCCTCATCTGTATAGGCACGCTTGGGTTGTACAAGCCCTTGCTCATTGCTTCAGCAGCTGTTTGTTCCTTTTTCTTTCGAGGGCGATAGCGCCCTAGTTCTGGTTCAATGGTGCGGTGAGTGTGGATTTAGCTGTTCAGGCTGGTAGCTCAGGGCTGTTTGCATTACAGTTCGTGAGGATTAGTAAGAGCAGCAAGTTTACTCTATGGACGGGCGCATTCTTTTTTCCCTGCTAAGCTCTTCTATTTCCTTTATCTATTATGCTTATACGATAGGCTGTACATTATATCTGGACTCTGGGTTATGCTTGAGATCTCTTGTAGAGGGGAGATGGGTGGATAGAGGAGGAGTAGTATGAGTTCTGATTGTAAGCTGGTAAATGATGCATTGAGCTTGCAAGCTAATATTACAAAGAAATGAATTTCTTTTTCCAATATTTCCTATATTAATTAACAATCTTATATAGAAGCTGATATAGCTTAGATCTGTATAGACTGCAGCGGAAAGTTTAATTATGTTGGATATGAGTTTATGATTAAATTATAGAGTGGGATGCTTTTGATGAATGGTATTCTATAGAGAAAAGTAGCATAGTTAACAAGGTTTGTACTTCTTGCAATGATTCAATCAGCACGCTCTATCTGAATACATCTGGCTATATTAATTCTTTAGATTAAAAGCTTGCTAGTTATATTATCCCAAAAGCAAAGGATATAGGAAAGTGAAGATGAGAAACTATTAGTACATATAAGGAATAGAGATTAAGAATTACAATAATATCATTTAATATCAAACTTTAATCAATATCTTATATCTAGTTAGAAATACTTCTATTAATTAGCAGAACTATTAATAAAGAAAATCCTAGTACAGCATAGAATAGCTAATTCAATTCCTTATTATTCATTATAAGACAGATCTTATATACATTCTACTTACAGACTGAACCTTTCTCAAGCATCTGAACTCTCTCAATCTCTACAATATTGTTTTCTGCAGGATACGGAAGGTATTCCAGCTATAGCATTCTCAATTCAAGGATCTCGAATCAGGAAGGCAAAGAAACATTGGAGAAAGCAATAATTAAGAGGGAAGATGGCTTCCACGTTTAAGAGCTCTTCCAATCAGATACCCAGTTCGGCTAATTACCTAGCCAACAATTACTATAGTCAGAACTTCAGATTCCCCTTTCACAGTGAGCTTGCTAGTAGTGAGTTAACATTGTTTGCTTGTATAGAAGTTTTCTTGTAGCTGAAGCGATTTGACTGATAGCATTAGATTAAAGGGATTAATGATACTCAAGCACTCAACTTCATGAAAAGCTTCTATATAGATATAATCATTGCTAGAGAAGTAGAGAGATTCATTATAAGCGCTAAAACTTGGAATGAATAGAAGAAGCAACTATTAGTTATTTATTGCTCTTGGAATCATCTTTAGATATATATCTCCAAGCAGGAGCGCCTGAATATTATTAATAACTATTTTATTACTAATGCTGCTAGCTTTTGATTATTCGTTATAAACTATAATAATGCTTTTATTCATTTTAAAATCAGAGATAGTTAATCTATAGTAGAAGCATGAATAAAGCTTTCTTCAATCTGAATCAAGCGCCTTCGAGCTAATCATAGTATTACTGCTGAAAGCATTAGCAACAAGAAGTAGCTTTATCTTATGAAAAAGCTGTTAAAGGTTTATTGTAAAGCGCTTCAGAAGAAGACTTAAGACCAACTTGCTTTTAGTGCTACCAACCTTCAACTTTATTAACAAGCTCAATTCCAAGATCCTTCTATACTTCTACTTCAACCGATCCTTAACCAAATATAGCTCATTCCTATTTCACATTCAATGCATAGTGCTTCCAGTTAACTAATAAACCTATTGAAATAAGCAGTAGAGCTATTATATTATCAACCATTTCAATAATCAACTTATAATTAGCAAGCTTAGCTTGAACTAACTAAACAGATCTTGAAAGCTGAATCTGCTTAGAAAAATAATCAAGAATATAATCAGTTAGCTTCAATAATAAAGCAACTCTATATTAACCAAATTGCAATAGCAAAATTCTTAAAGCTGCAAACTAATACTTTTAAATAGATACAAAATATTTCATATAATCAAACCAAAGCTCTACAGAAGATCTTACAACTAATCAAGCATTCCTAAACTATTTCTGCAAGAAATTCTTTCTAGGGAAATGCAAATTTCTTGCAAATGAGTATTATCTATATAAGTTCGGAGAATGAGAGAAAGCAATACTCTGAAGCATAGCAAGCGGAGATTAATGAAATCCTAAAGAAGAACGGAACTCTGCGCAGATGCTATAGCTGTAGATCGAAGTTCTATGGAGCTCATGAGTATGTAGAACTCCGTACTGTTATGAACTGTAGCATTTGCTATACTCTAGCATTAGCAAAGCTAGAGTAGTATCTTAGCAATTGCTTGAAGTTTCTGAATTCTAAATTAAAATCAGTATTATATAGCCAGATTATATATGCTCAAGATAATCCCAAAAGCGATATAATCTATCTAATCCTCGATCTTTATAAGGATTAGCAGCTGAAGAGTATTAAGGATTCTTGAATTTCTTAATATATTAGCTTGATTTAAGAGAATGAGAAATAGCATAGAGATTCTGAGATAGCTAAGAATAAGATATTATAAGAAGAAACTAACCCCATTTTCAGATGCAATAATCAGTATAGAACTAATAATATTGAGATCCTTAGCAATGCTAATAAGATTCAAGTAGGGAAATTATATCTTATTCCAGCCCAAGCTGAACTGTATCTACCAAAGCTTCTCAGCATCAATACTATAAGTATTGAATCTATTCAAGCTCAGATAAATGCAGATAAAGCAAAGAAGTGCTGTATTAGAGAGGCTGGATATAATGATAGTAAGGTTAGAAGAGATGCAAGTATAAGAACTGTTGAAATCCTTATATATTTCGGGAATATTGGATTGAAGAAATCTAATAAGCAATTCAACAATCTGAATAGAAAGCTAATAATTCAAGCTATTAGTAATAAGCTTCTGAATTAGTTTCTAGATTACTTATTGAAGATCTTAGGCTGAGAAATAATAGTTATATTATTAGAATAGGGAGCTCGTCTGATTTACAGTCTTCAAGAAGTTAGCTCTGGAGCTCGAAAAATTATTAATCTTAATAATCAAACTAGCTCAGATCTGTATAAGGCAGATACTGCTGGATTAGCTAATTCATTGCAGCATAAACCCGGAATCTCGATGCTTTCCCAATCTGAAGAGCTTATTAATAGTTAGATTATTAATATTTGGAATATTACTAAGTATTTTTCAAGACTAGCTTAACTATCTGCAGTTTAAGCTTTATTTCTTATTGCTAAATCTGGCTATATTAAGCTTACTATTAATATAATTCGAGCTTTTAACAAATCCTCATTTTCTTCTGTAACAGCTTTTATAACTGCTTTCAGCAGCATTCGAGATAAGAGCATCGCTCCGATAGCATACATCTCTCTGCAGCTGAGAGGTAAAGAGAATAAACCTGTATAAGCAATGCTGAATACAG